ATTGTAAAGCAATATAAATCATTTACAAATGTTGTTATTTAGTACAGCAGATATACATTCATATTTTTGTACAGATTACATAGCAAATAGAACGTCTGAACAGATTTACATTTTTTTATTGAGATATATATATTTCTTAAAATAAATATTTAATTTATATAGAAGATCTATGTGTAGAGGAGCTATGAACATTCTTTGATCTGTAGAATTATTTTTATGATCACCGTTCGTGTCAGATATTAGATTTTATATTATCTGAATGATTTTATATAATCTGAATTGTATATAAATGTCTTTATCTCTTATAAAACAAATAAAAAAAAATCTTAATTTTTAAGACTAGCTAATAACATATTGATTTTATCTACGAATTGTCTGTCTGATGATCCGCATTGTGCTAGCACAAATGTGAGAGCCGAAGCGTCTTTTTGTTCGTATGCTGTTTGCGCCGCTTCACTAAGTAAACTGCAGAATTATAGTAGATAGTTATATTGTTATATGTAAATCTTATTTACGTCTTTTTAAAAAAAAAATTTTTTTTTCAAGTACTTACTTTAACTTCACTAAATACTTCACTTTGAGATCATCTTTAACTTTGACTAAATATTTCCTTGCTTCTAATTTTTCATTATACTTCAGGCATTCATCTATGAACGGCTTAAACATGGAAATTATTGAAACATTATTTCACCGCATCGATGAACAAATAAATGCATATATAATTATACACATATATAATTATATACATTCACTTGCAAAAAAACAGGCCACTAAATTTTACACAAATAATATTACACAAATAAATTTTACATACACAATTTTCTAATATTTTTTAATAGTAGTAATTCAGCGAAAAATAATTGTATTGATGAAATGAATCAAAACTCAAATTAAAGCTTGAATATTCTCTTTGATGAAAATTTGAGTTACATAAAATGTATTATAAAATGTATTCCAAAATGGCGGACATTGAAAGATAGATAAAAAAATGTTTCTTCACTATTGCATTACTTAGGGGAATTGACTGCCAGGCATAAAAATGAATGAGTTTTTAAACTCGGTTATTTCCAAACAAATCTATTTTAAACATTTTTTTAATGATTTTTTTTTTTAAACAAAGTTATATATTTTAAAGAAAGTGTTACAAAATGAACAATTTTTTCTTGAAAATTCAAAAAACTTAGAAACGAATTATTATAGAAAATTTTATCAAAAAGAAATTAAAGAACTTCAAGTCAATCAATAAATATTCAAGCAGAATTTTCAATCAGAAGAATCTTCAATCAGGAATGTTCAAGCTTTAATTTGAGCTTTAGTTTATCTCAATACAATTATTTTTCGAAATTTATTGATGAATTAGTGTTATCAAAAACATTAAAAATTTGTGTTAAAATTTAATAACTCGTTTCTTTTTTTTTTTTTGCGCGCGCGCGTGTGTATGTGTGTATACAGAGTATCCCGAATTTAAATAACAAAACTTTGGGAGCATGTAGAGGATCGATGATTGCAAGAAAAAAAGGTTCTTTAGAGACATCTCGTTTTTATTTCGTTTTAGAGAAAATCACCAAAAAAAAGACAAAACGTATCTCATTTCGTACTTATTTATTATTGGCGTTCAGCAGAACACAATAGTTTTGCAACCGTTTTATGATTGTGATAGGATTATTTCTCTT